TTTACCCCTGGGTATACTCAGAGGGACAACAGTCCATGGCCATGTGTCTGTAGTATCTCACAGAAAGTCCTCAGGTGGAGAGTCGGCTATGCTTTTAAAATTCGTTTCTTAATAGGTTTTTGCTAACTCATTATATCTGTTACAACAGAACAGAGGGATAATATTTCTACTGATACTTTATATGCAGTTTGCAGCCAAGCTTAATGTGCAGTTTGGGTGCTACATACACCCCTTTGGTGATCCACAGATCTAAGAACCAAAATCAGTGATCACAAAGATCTACGTTTTAGGGATGCAAAGACACGAACGAAGATAGAGAATTGAAGATGATGCCTGGCTGATAGCAAGTAAGAAGCTGGAAGCTGCTAATAGAGTTCAGTAAACAGTCATGTATTTTTAATACCTTGATTATGCCCAGGAAGAAACCATGCCCTCCTAGCTTACAGCTGTGACGACATTGTCCAGTAAGCGGCAGGCAGGAGGGTCTGTAGTGCGTCCGTTAGCTGGGCTTGCTTTTATGTGACACGTACCCTCTAACAAGGGAATGTGCTATACAGGCAGCAATATTGCAATCAAAGTCCTTTCTTCGGAGTGTTAAAACTGCTGGGAACTTGCTGGGTTCATGAATTTATGAATGAAGGCTCTGATTACCCTCAAAGATGAGGTTTGCTTTAAGGCATCTGGCTGTGGAACCAGAGCTGGAAGCAGTAGGACACTAGTTGCCGCGGGCAGTTGCCTGATGGTCAGTATTTATCTGGGGGTGCGATACCTGGAGGCACGCTGGGCCCTGAGGATTGTGCTGAGCAGGGTGCACCCCGGGGCGCCCTGAAACGCAGAGTGCGGCTTGGCATGAGGGGTGCATCTAGGGAGGCGGGAGGAATCCCAAAGTCTCCCGAGTTTGGCGTTCCGGTTAAGAGAGATCAATGATATTCTGTGATTCTGAACTAGAGGTCAAAAATCAGTAGCCCCAACGGTGCAGTGGATTTCATGCTGTGTTCAGGAGGGTAATTACAACTGTCAGTGCTGTAATTTTTCTCTCCTAGATGATTTCCTGTGCAAATTAAGACTACTAAAAAAACCCAAACAAACAAACAAAAACTCCAAACCGGACATACACTGCTTCCAGTTCTTCACTACCGTCATCTGCAGCGTCAGGAGAGCTTTGATCTCACCGCAGGACTGGGGGGCTCGGTGTGGCACAGCACAGTGGTAGTTAATAATGCCCAAATATATGTATTTTGCATTGTTTAGGGTATTAATTTGTTTATCCTGCATTAGGATTCCATGCGGTTTCTGTGGTGAGGAATTTGTTGTACGTGTGCTCATCTTAGTGAAATGCTTTTTGGTTTTGTTTTTTTTTTTTAAAATACCCATATCCTGTTTTTCACTACAGGACTGACCTCTGTAGGCTTTCATAGCAGTAGAGCTACCAAGAAATATTTAACCTGTGGATCATGAAATAACATTTGAAAAAATAGCGTAGCTTACAGGGAGCAAAATACAGACAAAACCGCTTCTGCTAGGTTTTCTGTTCAGTGTTTAACACTGTACATTTAATCTTGGTGCGTGTCACATACCACACTCAACCACTGTCCTAGAGAAAATGCGTTCTCAAGGAAATGCTTCCCATGCACAGTATGTGGCCTTTTGTGGGGAAACAGCAGATGTGTGCCGTCAGATCATTTCACGTTCTTTCTACAAAACCCTTTAAAAGAACCGGAGCGGGAAGGGGAAGGTCACTGTGGGAGTGGGGAGACAGTCTGAGTCGTTGGAAGAGGATTTAGGTTTGGGGGGAGAGTGTGGGCTCAGGAGGAGCATTGCCCAGCAGCCTGGGTTACAGAAACTTGGGAGGATGTAGACCAAAGCTCTGTAACGTGAAAAACCAGGATAAAACGATTGAGAACGGCAATGAAAGAGCTGTAGAGGATGTTACCAGTGAGGTAGTGATGTTCCTACCTTTTGGAAACTGTTTTGCAGAAATGCTTTATGAGTTAAGGTTTTATAAATGAAAACTTCTAGCTCAAACCAAGAGCCTCTGGGACAAGCCAATAATAAAATTGATGCTCATAGGAGAGAGAAAATGTATGAGCTTTTCATTTGCATGGTCGGAGCTGACTGTAGGATGAGATTGGACTTGTTTAGGTAAACATAATGTAAAAAACCAGGGCTAAAGGTTGAGCTTCACCTGCCTAGAAACAGGTTGTTGAGTAGATCTGCTTTGTGGTGGTGTCAAAACGCAGCTGCACGTCGGAGATGCGGCAGAGCCTGGCACCGCAGCTGCGGCGAGACCCTCGCTTCTCCCCAGCTTAGCACCTGGGGGTTGAGCGAGGCCACCCGGGATAGATTGAATGTGTCTCAGCGTTTCTTAATGGCTGTGAATTCATTTCAATGTTAAGGCTGTTCTGTTAACTTTTCCTTTACAGTGTGTGTAGATACATGTAGTTGTTATTCAGTATTTGCCTGCTATTGTCTAGATACACTTAGCTAGTCCCTAATTGTAGGGGGTTTATTAAGTGTTACAAAAACCTGAGTTAGGAAGATCTTTGTTTCTTTCTTTCTGAATTTCTCCTCTTCCCAGCTTGTTTGCAGAGGAGGAGACTAGCAAAGAGTTTCTCTCATTCTTTTTTTCCCCAGGTTTTTATCAGCTCCTTGGCAAGAATACCTGAGTACCTCCAGAGTCTTTATCTCATCCACCTTCATAACACTCCCCCATGCCAGGGGGGTGCTGCGGGGCCCATCTCGTAAGTCTCTGGGAAAATACTTTTAGAGAGATCAGGCTGGTATGTAAATTGTTGCCTTTTTCCCTTACCCAAGACTTTCTCGAACCCTCAGTTATTCTTTTCACAAACAGTTTTAGCTTTTCTGAGGCTAGGAACTGGAGAAAGAAGGAAACGTTATTGAGTCTGACCAGAAACATCATTTTATTTTTTTCTCAGTTCTTGATTTGGAAGTGTAGTAAGGAAATATTTACATCAAATACAGAGCAAAAAAACCAGAATTCATTGTAGACAATCAATGTGTCCCAAGAAGGTGTGCTAAAAGTCCTGCTTAACCAAAGTGAGTGACAAAGACCGGTGGGGTTTTTTGTTCGGGTTTGGTTTTGGTTTTTTACCGCTCATCCATTTCTTCCAGAAAGAAAGAAAATCCCACCTTCCTTGCTCAGGCAAAACTGCTGAAATCAGTGGAAGTGGGGCTAGCAGCAGAACAAGGATAGCAAGAGGGGAAACAGTAAACCTTACCCCACAGGGTTGTAAAACCTTAAAAAGTAAGGCGCTCTAATCAATATTTACCTTCTCAGTGCAGCCCTGTGTTATATTAAATGAAACAGTAAAACTAGGAGATGCGTGGCACCACAAAGAGAGAGTGTGTATTTCTAAGGAATCTTGTAGCAAATTCAAGTTTCAGCTGCATCTTAGAAAGAATTATTACACACTCTTGAGGAAGGATCTGGCTAATATCCTTATTTCTCATCGGCTTATCACTGATACATGTCAGCATCAGGACTGACCTGGTTTTTTTGCCTGAGCCACGGAGCTCTGTCACTGGGAATAGAGGTGGCGTTCGGCTTTGGGAATTAATTTGAAAAAACTCAGGTTTTGGAAGGAGCCGTGCTTGAGCGTGTGGTTCACAGACAAAGTGCCAGCTTGCTGTCCGTGCGTCTGCTCCATCTTGTCTTTTCAAATTAGTGAAGGTAGCGTGCGTGAGAAGTAGTAGCAGTATAGATACACAGGTGATGGGCTTATGCAGTGACAGCTCCCAGAAGACGAGCCAGAAGGCGCAGATGCTTATACGTGTCGGCTCGGCATGCTAGGCTTCGCGTTGGGCTTCCCATTCACAGGTCTAGAGAGAGAAAAGGTTTGTATTTACTGTGGTGTAAAAGGAACAAGAAGGCAATTAATGTATGGCTGCTGATCAGCTCATTTAGCCTCGGTCTGCAGCCAGGGACCTTGAAGAACAGGCTGCAAAGTGTTCTCCCTAAATCCCCTTCCTGCTGGTGAGGGATCTGCCAGCATTCAACTGGTGACAGCCAGTAGCAAGACTTATTTAAGATACACTGCTGATCAATCATTACACTAAAAAAAAAATTGTGGGGTTTTTTTTTTTTTTTTTTTTTTCAATTTGCCTCTGACTTCTGCACACATCTGTCCTCTCATCAAGCCTTTCTCCACACTCAGAAATGCTGGGAGCTGAAATGGGAAGAAAAGCTTAGGGCTTTTTTGGAGTTGGGAAAGCTGTTATCAGTTCATAAAGATTTTTTTTCTTGTTGCAAACCAGTTTCTTGCAGAGGAGTTTACAAGGAGGCTTTCCAGACTACCAGCGTGTTCCCAAAATGATAGAAATTACTGGTCTCCAGCAACTGTTAGTTTTATGTTAATATAATGAGTTGGAGATTTGACACCCATTTTCACTGAAGATTAATTTGTGGTGCAAAATGAATCCTTCAGCTGCCAGCAGG